TGTTGGGTTAACGTTAGAATTTATTTATATAGATTCTTCGTTTGAATTAGCCATCGTTTTACGAAGCAGAGATTATATTTACATGTATATACAAGACTTTTACAAAGTATAATGAATATCGAGTTTAACGAATAATAAGTTTGACGAATAATAAGTTTAACGAATAATAAGATTAATGAATAATAAGTTTAACGAATAATGAGTTTAATGAACGTTGTTAACAATGTTCTTGGGTTCAAACGAATCCGCGGTCAACGGGATAACTCTTTACTATGCGTAGAATAATTTAAGCACAAAATACGATTGCTGAGACGCTCGGTATAAACTGCTCGATGTGTCACTCTCCAAGGCGATCGCAGGAATCATAAACTGATGGAAATTTTCCTCGCTGTACGATTGCATTTTTTTCTTTTTTTTTTTTAAGCTGATGGGAATTTTCCTCGCTGTACGATTGCATTTGTTTGTTATATACTCGTTGGAAGTATCGAGAAAGTTCCAATCGCCGTTGCTAAGCAGTTTCTGCCTGGAGTTTGATTATTAATACAACGTGTGTCGAGCCCAATCTCGCTATCACAAATCTCGTACAAATACAATCAGGTTGAATGACAATTGTTTAATTACGGCTATGATAAAATCTAGGCTGAAGCATTAGATGACTTTCCCAAAATTGCAAAGGGGAAGGCTCCGGTTTTCCTTTCATCTCCGACATATATATATATGCTTGCTTTCAAACTTTCAGATTGGTCAACAGATGAAACTCAATGCAATCGCGATAATCGTTTCTCGTTAACATGTTGTGATAATAAAATTGCAAACTGTTGCGTACAGCGCACGCAATATATTCGCCAAGAATTTCTACCATTTCAAATACTTTCGTAAACCATTATATAATCGTGAATTGGTTATCGCGTTCTAAAATTCTTGCGAACAATTTCCACCATATTCGTTGCGTATATACTTCAGTTTTTCGCTCACAACTATTGGACTGGCAACTAAGTGATTGCGGATTTTGTCATTAGGTGGTACTGAGAAAATCCGCAATCACTTAGTTGCCAGCCCAATACAATATTCCGATTAATATACAACAATACTACGATATAGTCGATTAATCATTGAAAGATGCGTATAAGTGCTATCTTCGAATGGAATATCTTCGTTAATGCTGCGTACCCAGAGAATCTGGACGGCCATTTAAAAGGGGACCGGAAGTTGGACAGGCGGCCGCTATCATCAATCTTTTCTCGATCGCACCGCTATCAATCCTCGGTTTAACCCTATTAATACACCTAATCCCTGCCTCGAGTTTCTAATTAACCCGAATTGACGAAGTTTTGCCCCATCGTAACGAAAATCAAACCGCAATAATCCGTGGCCCTCCTTTAACCATTAACCACATCTATTCCCAATTACTCTGGATTAACAAGGTTTCACCATGGGCAGCGCACCTGTAGCCGATATCCGGTTTCCACGGGCCCGATATATCGAGAGGCCAATATAAACGTGAAGCCAGTAGCCCAAACGCCTGAGGATATTTCTGCTGGTGTTCCCTTTCCGTGTCATTGCGTGCTGTATCATCGCGTGAAACTATGAACGTGAAACGTACGAGATTTTAAAATATCCGGTCCGACAGATCAACAACGTCGTACGATAGCATAAAATACGCCCTGAGACGATGAACGAACGAAAGAAGATTGGCTTCCAAGTAGAAACGATGAAATAGCGACGACGATTCTTAACAAATTCCAGGCATTCGCGTATTGAATTTTTATACGCGAACGAATGTGAATTATAAAATTCCTAGCGCAAGGCTGAAGATTTAAATGAAAAGTGGGATAAACTCGTGTTTCGGTAATGTGTGATAGAGTAAAAAATGCATGATCCCAGGTACAACGAAAATTGTATTGAATTGGTCACAGAAATATCCCGCGTGTTTCACGCTTTATTTTTATAATAAATTTTGATGAAATTTTGTAGGCAGAGAAAGAAGAGTTCTTGTACTGTTTGCTAGCGTGTAACGAAGCGATGTACGTTCCTTCTTCTTTTTTTTTTTTTTGTTTTTTAACTATCGTGATGTTTATTGTATTCGATGATCTTTTCTTTATGTTTAAATCATATAAAATCGATCAAAGGTATCCAGCTGCCTATACATTTTGCATGTAACCTTTTATCTATCTATTTTGTTTTATTCACACTGTAATAAATCTATATTCGTGTATGCGTCATCCGCTATACGATACAGAATTATTTTTATTTTCATTTGTAGATATCAAATTATAATTGATTACACGATGTATAAATGTTTATCCACGTATTTTTCCATATCGATAAAAGATATGACTTGTATACGGAAAAATGTTTCACATTTGAAAATCAATTTTAATTGACTGAAATAATGTATCTGTTTAACGCCTAACAGTAACTACGTATAAACGAGATATTACGAAGGAAGCGTTTGTAAAGAGAAACCAAGCTAATAAAACATTTCACGAAACCTGATATATATAATTCAATCTTTTAAAGACGAAAATAAAATAAGGAAGAACAGCCTTTGTTCGGAGAGCTCTACTCCTCCATCAGCATCAATCTTCTTTATTTCCGACGTAATAACATTTTAAAGACTGTATAGAAAAACATCGTTCGAAACGAAGCAGACGATTAGAACTCGGTTGCGGGTCGAAGCATTGGAATCTGTTTAAAAATGAAACTCCGAACAGGAACGGTAAAAAAGTCTTTTAAAATATGAAAACCAAAATAGAAACGATGGAAGCTATTTAAAAATGAAAATAGAAATAGAAACAATGCAAGCTATTTAAGCTATTTATATTTAAAAATGAAAATCGAAATGGAAACAATGGAGGCTGTTTAAAAATGAAAATCGAAACCTGAAAGCAGTGAAACGTTCGTACAAATCCAAGTAGACGCGTTAAGATCTATTTAAAAGTGAAGATCGAACCATTGAAATCCATTGAAAAGCTAAGATCGAAGTGGAATAAGCTGAATGAAAGCTGGCCCTCTCTAAAAGCACCAAGTATACGTCTGTATGGCTGACACCATAGGGGGTTATACTACTGTCACTTATGACGTCTAACCTGACGGAACAGTAAACCAGTCATTCTACTCAAATGGAACTTGCATGTAGTTCGATCCTATGCTTTTGTTAGTATTTTTTTATTACTCGATCGGGAACTTTTTAACGAAGAGAAATGTATATACATGACGATAAAGAATGAACATTTACGAGGCTACCAATCCGGGAACTCGATGATTACCATTGTTATTGGGTTGTTGTCGTCGTGCTTGCACGTGTAATAAAGCGCGAGATACTTTACGTGGCAACGCGCGAAACGCGATTTTTATTGTTAAATATCTCGTAAACTATGCACGGCTATGCAAACGACCTGACATCGGTCCAACATCTCTCGTTTTTATATACGGGCAGCAAATTTTATCGCGATCAACGTCGTACTTACATACGTGTCGCTTTATCTAAATTCGCATTTCTCTTCGAATTATATTATTTTTTAGCACCCACTATACTAATACTTAGAATTAATCTTGCAAATTTTCATTTTTCTATTGTAAAGTATACGAATTATACGAAGCACGTGGAAGTATATAAAGTCGTTCCAAGTTCCGTTACGTTGCAAATGATATTCTGTGTATGCGATTAATATCGAACTCTTCAAACAAATCATTTACTTCCGTACATTTATTTATCGCGAGAAACTGACACGAAGGGGCAAAAATAAATTCCAAGGAAATCCTCGAGAAAGTTGTACCGATCGATCCATCTCTCGTTGCTTTGTAGCTTACGGAATTATTCGATGTCTTTGGAGCAGCTCGACAGATGCTCAGGACAAAATTTAATTGGCGATATTTCTTTGTCAAATGAAATCCATTTCATATCAATCGTAATTTCCTAACGAAAACTCTCAGAAAATGCTTGCCAAAATTCTTCGCAATTTCCCAATTCTCTGACATTTGGAACGATCGGTGAAGCGAACTATCAGAGGAGCCAGGTTCACACGTGAACGACCTCGTTTGGCTGATTTCCATAGAAATCCCACGTAGATCGCTTTAGATTTCACAGGCTGATGAGTCTATCAACTCTCACGCATGCATTATTGCAAGACGGCATTCCCAAATATTCCAGCAACGCGCCACGGCCAAAGGAACATACCGGCATGCACAGAAGGCCATCGCGCGTTCCTCGTGCACAGTTGCCTGTGAAATCCTCGTCGATGTGGGATTTGCCGAGGATAATGTCGCAGCCTTGACTCGTTCAGCCTGACACGTTGTTTTCTCCGCAATTTCTTACCAAACAATGACACCGGCACCGTCCTCCTTCTGATTATTTCTTACTTGCACCTATTCAGATATTTCCACCGACAGGAAAAAAGAAAGCTGACTGCACACCTGACCTATATCCA